TCACTTGATGTTTCTAATATATCATCACTATTATCTGATATATTAAATTGTTCATTATCATTACCATCCTGATATTCGTTTTCATTATTATCCTGATATTTGCTTTCATCACTCTCATTTACAACACATTAAGGGGGAAATTATAAAAAAGCTGGAAAAAGTTGATAGTATGAGTTTGGGATTAGAACATTTTTTTCGTGAATTGGGAGAAATATATGAAATTGCGCTTACAAATTCAAACCACACTACTCAAAGTGTTCTGAAGTACGCAGAACTTTATGCTGAATTGCTTATTAATGGTCATGCCATTGAATTACTTGATGGTGACGCTGGAAATATGTCAGGCACTTGGCTGTCAGCAATTTGTAACGAAGTCATTAAGCGATTCCCTAAGCTGCAGGTATTTGTAATTTCTATACTTGGACTCCAGTCATCTGGAAAGTCTACTCTTTTGAATGCTCTTTTTGCAAGCAAGTTTGCGGTGTCAGTTGGTCGTTGCACTCGAGGTCTTTTTATGAGGCTAGTGTTCTTAGAAAAAAAACTCTGTGAAGAACTTAAAGTAGATGCCATCTTGATAATTGATACAGAGGGTCTTGGAGCTCCAGAGAAAGTCAATGATCCAGAAGCAGATCGCAAAGACCGCCTACTTGCAACATTTGCAATGGGTGTCAGCAACTTAACACTCATCAATATATTTGGAGAATATATGCGAGACTTAACTGAAATCTTACAAATAGCAATCATTGCAATGGCACGTTTAGAAAAGGCTCAAATGGCTCCAGATATCTTTATAGTGCAACATCTCACAGAGAAAGATACATCGAAAACTGCCAGTAGTATAGATCAATTTTGTGAAGCACTTCAGAAGGCGTTGGAAGTTACAGACAAAAAAGATATTGAGATGGGAATTGCAAATTCGAAATGTTTAAATAACCTGAACGATCGAATACAAAAAGGAGAACTCCTCAAACAATTTCACCCATTCAAAAATGGTGCAAGTACTTATGCCCC